ATTTACATTGAAACATGGAACTTAACGCGCAACTTTAGCGATCGACCAATGGGAGCTTTGTGACGAAGTCACTTACGAACCGGATTGATCTCTCTTCGTAATGGAGATCAATAGTTGTAATCGCCTGATCGCCATTCGAGCAAGTGATGCACCTGCGCAGTGCATGGACGTTAATGCACGGGCGCCGCGCCAGGCAAGCGCACCTGGTACACGCGCGCGCGCCTGAGCATTGACGTCCACTGCGCAGACGTATCGCTTGCTCGAATGGCGCCCATGATAATTACTCCTTTTTGGCAGAGTTCGGCGCTATAAGATCTTTCCATCAATCAACTGAAGTTGAGGCCAAGAAGTTTAGCTTATCCAAGTTATTTTAGCACTACCCCAGTGGTCTGTTTTGGGGTTACTTTTTATTCTATATATGCACTTTCTGTTTGAGATACATGCAGCCCGTTATCATGGTGTGTCATATCATTTTATGCTGATGACATTCAACTGTATATTTTGTTTGATTCCAAATATTCAATAATTATTAATCTGCGCCCTTGAAACTTTGAGTAGATGCCTGGTCTTTTTTTTTTCATACCAAATCTTTGATGAATTGTGACAACCTAAAAGTGAACGAAGACCAAACTGATTTTCTCGTAATAGATTCACCTTCTAATCGTAACAGACTTCAAGAAATTACTTGAAGTAGGTCATGCAACTGTCAAACTTGCTTAAGTTCGTGTAATAATTCGATTGTTTATTATTTGTAAGCGCTGTGATTTAGTAACTAAGAAGAGCGTTTTAAATGCTGGCTGTTGTTACATGTATTATTGTTTGTTGCTGGAGCGGTTCAACAAAACTAAAACTTATTTTGCGACTGCACGAGACTGAGACAAAGAAGAACTGCTTGCAGTGAAAGAAGCAGTAACTTCAATGGAGACTAATTTTCCCGGTTTATTCCCGTGGGACAGCGCACAAGGTATAGGGCATAGGTGCCCAGGTCACTCCCAGAACGCCCCTGAATGACAAAGGAGGAGAATTTGAGGGCTTCTTAAAGGTAAAGTGATGCAGAAGGTGGCTGAAGAAGATGAAGAGCTCCATTTTAGCGAGGTTCTCCCCTAGACACACCCGGCGGCCTGTGGAAGAAACAATAACCTAAAGGTTAAAAGCGACGTTAATGGTTGCGTATCAAAAATAGACGGACCGCGTGACCTCACACAAGGAAAGTGTCATTTTAAAAATCCTGGCTCGAAGTCCATTTGGGTTAGAAAGAATCAAATTTCCACCGCTAGTTTCTCCACTCTTCAAGGATAGGAAATATTTTGCCTGTATATATTTGCTATGGCTGTGCACTGACCATTTCCGAACGGGATGAATTCTTCCCGAAGACGGAGCTTGCCGTCAGCGTCGAGAAATCGCTCAGGGCGGAACTCCCTCGGGTCGTTCCAGACAGACGGGTCGAAATGGCTATGCCAGAGATTGGCCATGACATACGAACCTTTGGGAATGTCATACCTGAAGAGAATAGTCAATATCAGAAGGTCATAAGATTGAGATCAAGGGCGAATCGGATGGGGCAGCTGGAGTCACGCCCCGTTAAAAAGAAGCTCAGGGCTTTACCAACATTTCATATATTGAGAGAAAAACAATTTTTAGCTAGTCTCTTGACTTTGCTTTAAAAGCGTGTAAACAGCGCCAAAATGCAGCTCCAACCCTTACAAAGGACTTGAAGGTTACTCCAAATAGTTTCTCTCCCCCCCCGCCTAAAAAGCCCCCCCCCCAAAAAAAAAAGATTGTGGTTTTGGACCTGCCTTTCATTGCGACGGTGCAGTCTTGATCAAGTCACTTTCACTGTGTTCGCTTTCATGCATTTCCCATCTCTTAATTCCGTGTTACAGCCTCTTATTGAAGTTTACTGCCTCGTTTCGATGTAGGATTGCATAATGATCTGATGATCAATAGATGTGCCAGTTGTCTGTCGGATAGTTGACGATGTTGCGTCGCAAGGTCGTGTTTCTTTGCACGGCTTTGCCGTCTTTCTTTCATATCTCTAGGCCCCATGCATAATAGCTTCCTTAATTTTTTTTATCCGACTCATAGTGGGACGGTACACAGTATTTAGTCAACAAAATGGTGGACGTACTGTTAATAGGGAGAAAACGTTAACAGTCTGTTTGTGAAGATCTTTCACACAATTATTTCCGCAATCTGTGTATATACAAATGGATAGGTCTGTATACATGTACATTACCCATGGACTGTGGTCTTCTCTGCGCAGTAATGAGGCGCCGACAGCGGTAGGACGGTGGTTATTCGCTGAATCTCGCAGATAGTCGCCTCGGTGTAGGGCAGATCGGCCTTGTCTGACAGGGTCGGCAGTCGATTGCGGCCGGTCACTGCATCCAACTCCTGCTGGATGCGAGACTGTATCTCGGGGTAGCTCATCATGTAAAGCAAACCCCATCGCAAGGTGGTAGCCGAGGTCTCGGTGCCGCCAATGAACAGGTCCGCCACTGAACGGAGTAGGTTGACAGGCCGGAGCCCCACAGCCGTTAACCCTTGCTTCTCTTTCGCCTCACAAGCTTTGAGAAACTTGTCGATGAAGTCCCTGGGCTGCGCCGGATCGTACGCCTCCTGGTGCTCTTTAATCAAGAGCCCAACGTGGTTAAATAAGTTGTCGACGGCCTGGACATAGACCCTTATGAAGGCAAAAGGTTGGAGCTTGGTGAGTACGGCGGGCATGGTCTCCACGAAGAAACCCGCTCCCCCGTGGTGCATGAAGTTTGCCGTGTGCTTCAGGAGCTTCCTGAACGT